CAAATTTGGCGATTATAATTATGCTTAACGAACGGGAAACATTTCCTCCTGATACACCAAAAAAGTATGTTGATTTGGTTAAGAGTTGTTGGCATGAGGATCCTTCAAAAAGACCAACAATAAAAATAATAAAACAGTCTCTTAATGAGATTTTAGTGAATTTGTCTAAAGAAATTACTCCTAAAGAAAATACAAAATTGGTGATAAATGAAGTTGAAATAGATGTACCATCATCTGACACCTCAAATATAAGTTCTGATTATCATACAGCTTCTACTTCTACTTATGGTAGTCAATTCCAAAGTAAGCACGAAACTCATGAAACGTCAGAAATCGATGGATCATTATATTTGAGCGCCTTAGAAGAAATTGATTTATAATTCATATATATATATATTTTACATATACTGCTGTCTCAACTTTTTTTGTATTTTTTTTTTACTGTGTATCTAGCTTTCTAGAATCAATTGTTTTTTATTCGTCATTAATAATAATAATATTGGCCTACGACTTTAATAATCTGTAATATATGTTAAACTATATTTAAAATAAATCATGTTTATTCAGAAATCCCCGACAGGCAATCAAATTAGATGACTACATAAACTATATGCTGTTATGAATTGCTTATTCAACATGAATAAGGTTCCAAGTTGCCGCCAGATTTTTAATTTTGTTTCTGTAAAAAATTATAGCATTTTAAAATCTATTTAAAATTGAAACAAATAGTAATTATATATGTTGTGCCTCAGACTAACGCTTGCCTCAGGTCACAACTGACGTACCTCAGATGTAGATCGTCAGGTGAGGTGCGTGGCCTATCGATTATCATCTAAGCTGCAATCTAACGAAAATAAGAGTAAATAAATTGAATAAAAGACCTTTTACTTGAATTCTTTTTATTCTGGATTTCTTCGGCGTTTTTCTCGCCGGCACCATTTTTTAAATCACTTTGGGGTCTTTCTTAACTCCAGTAGCATTCTATATTTTTGAATCACCTTGGCGTCGTCTTACCTCCGATAACTTTCTTGAATATCTGGTATTTTACCACAAACAGTAGCATTCTTTTACATTAAGTTTCTTTAGTGTCTCCGTTCTTTTCTTTGAATTTCGTTGTCTGAATTTTTTCACGGCACATTCTATTTCCAATTAATACGTACTTTTTTCTCTCTATACATATAGATTTTTTTTGCCTAAATTGTCGCGGTATATTCTTCCCGTCT